TTTCAATTTCACACTTATATTACTATTCATAGTCAAACTATGAATAGTAAATGATAAGTTACAGAAATAACCCCTGAACTATTTGTCACTTGCTAATTTTGGAGGCAACTTTTCCACAATCTCCACCTGACGTCAAAATTAAGCAAGTCATGCTTTACGATTAGTCAAAACATATAGCTCATCAAACTCTAAAACTTCCATAAAAACCTGCAAATTTTATATAGAGAAAAAATTGTTTCCGAAAAATAAATAATACTTCCTCCACCACGAGCCTTCAGGCTCAACTGCGATCAGAAACACCCACCATGTCCAAACATAATTTGAACTTGGCTATAGGAAGACTTTTAGTGAACATATCAGCGGGATTATAATCTGTATGAATCTTGTCCACAACACAATCACCTTTTTCAATGATATCCCGCACAAAATGATAACGAATATCAATATGCTTTGTTCGGTCATGAAACATTTGATCTTTACTCAAGAAGATAGCACTCTGGTTGTCACAGAAAACTGTGGTCACCTTTATTCTATCATCGAGTTCTCCAAATAACCCCTTCAACCAGATATCTTCCTTAACTGCTTCTGTAATCGCCATGTACTCTGCCTCGGTAGAAGACAGGGCAACTGTAGACTGTAACTGGGCTTTCCAACTAACAGCACAACCATTTAGAGTAAACACATACCCTGTAATTGATCTTCGTTTATCCAAATCTTTGCCATAATCTGAATCAACATATCCGAACACCCCAGTGTTAGATTTAGCAAAACGTAAACACATAGAAGACGTACCACGTAAATAACGAAAAATCCACTGTACTGCTTTCCAGTGTTCTTTCCCCGGGTTCGCCATGTATCTACTAACCATGCTAACAGCATAAGCCAAATCAGGGCGCGTGCAGATCATAGCATACATCAAAGATCCAACAGCACTAGAGTATGGAACACGTGCCATGTAAGCCATATCAGTCTCATTAGTAGGACTCAAAGCGGATGATAGCTTGAAATGAGCTGCAAAAGGTGTGTTGACAGAATTTGCTTCGTGCATACTGAAGCGTCTTAGGACTTTCTCAATATAACTTTTCTGAGAAAGATGCAAGATCCTAGACTTCCTGTCACGAATAATTTCCATACCTAAAATCTTTTTGGCAGCTCCTAAGTCCTTCATTTCAAATTCAGCTTTCAACTGGTCTTTTAACTTCTGAATCTCCTTCATATCTTTTGCTGCAATCAACATGTCATCCACGTACAAGAGTAAGTAGATCTTTGAACCATTGTCACCTTTCTTAAAATAAACGCAGCTATCATAGGTGCACCTGCTGAATTTGTGACTGGTCATGAAAGAATCGAACCTCTTGTACCATTGTCTAGGAGACTGCTTGAGGCCATAAAGAGATTTGTTCAACTTGCATACGTAGTTCTCCTTTCCAGGAACTACAAAACCTTCAGGTTGTTGCATAAAAATCTCTTCCTCAAGCTCACCATTTAGGAAAGCTGTAGTGACATCAAGTTGTTCTAACTCAAAATCGTTAGAAGCAACCAACCCCAACAATACACGAATGGAAGTATGTTTGACAACTGGGGAATAAATGTCAGTGTAATCAATACCAGGAATCTGACTGTAGCCTTTAGCTACTAACCGAGCTTTGTATCTTGGTTTATCATTTGGGTTGACAGGTTCCTTGATCTTGTAGACCCATTTGCATTTAACTGGTCTCTTCCTTTTCGGAATAAGAACTAAATTCCAAGTACTGTTTCGCTGCAAAGATTCCATCTCATTTTGCATAGCGAGCATCCAATCATTTGAGTCTTCAGATTCGATAGCCTCGTCATAATTCGTAGGCTCCGTTGCGGACTCAATATTATCAGCAACAATAAAATCATAGGCAACCAAATCAGATTCAGCATACCTCTTCGGAGGAATAATCTGTCTTCTCGGTCTATCTCTTGCAATGCTTGGAGTAGTAGCTTGTGGTTGTGAAGGTGTTGAATCTTCACCAACAACATGCTCATCCGACGAAGAAGAATCTTGATGCTGATTTGTACTCTGATTAGTGGTAGGTGAAGTAGGAAGCTCCACCTCCATTTGAGCATTCTCTTTATTTGCTTCGGATGATACATCTGATGCATCTGTTCTTTTAGAAGAGTCAGCAACTGGTTGAAATATAGCAGACTCATCAAAAGTAACATCTCTTGAGATGATAATTTTCTTCAAATCAAAGCTCCATAACTTGTAACCCTTTACACCTTGATTGAACCCAAGAAAAACGCATTTGATTGCTCTTGGTTCTAGCTTCCCATTGTCAACTCGTGCATACGCTGGACATCCGAATGGTTTTAAATATGAATAATTGGCAGGTTTACCGGACCATAACTCAAACGGAGTTTTCTTCTCGATTGCTCGTGACGGTGATCGGTTGATAACATAGCAAGCAGTCGAAGCAGCCTCCGCCCAAAAAGACTTTGGCAATTTGGAATTAGAAAGCATACACCGGACCTTCTCCATAATGGTGCGATTCATCCTTTCAGCTACACCATTTTGTTGAGGTGAATGGACTACTGTGCGATGTCGAGTAATGCCTTCCTTTTGACAATAGACATTAAACTCTTCTGAGCAAAACTCAAGTCCATTATCCGTACGAAGATACTTTACCACCAGACCTGATTGCTTTTCAACCTGAACTTTCCAATTTCTGAAGGTAGAGAAAACGTCTCCTTTATGTTTTAAGAAGAAAGACCACACCTTCCTGGAGAAATCATCAATAATAGTGAGCATATAAATAGCTCCACCTTTTGAAGCAACTCGAGCCGGTCCCCACAAATCCGAGTGAACATAATCAAGTGGTCCTTTCGTTGTATGGATACCACTTGCAAACCTTACTCGTTTTGCCTTGCCATATACACAGTCTTCACAGAAATCCAAATCAATAATCTTTTGTTGACCAAGTAAACCTCTTCGACTCAATTCTGACATGCCTTGAAAACTCATATGGCCGAGTCGAAGGTGCCAAAGACGGGACTGATCTGGATCAGAAAGAGACTTTGAAACAACAGCAACATCACTCGAAATTGTTTGCCCGTCAAGAAAGTAAAGATCTGAGGTTTTTCGTTTGGCTCTCAGTTTGTCGGAACCGTCTTTGAATACCCTGAGAACTCCACCTTTACCAGTAAACTCGTATCCCTTTTTGTCAAAGGAACTGAGAGATAACAAGTTTCTTCTAAGGTCAGGAACATATCTAACATCCCCCATGGTTCGAATAACTCCGTCAAACATACGGATCCTGACTGAACCATGTCCAAGAACTGGACATGTAGTATTGTTACCCATCAACACATAGCCCTGGTTAACATTTTCAAATGTGTAAAACCAACTTTTGTTGTGACACATATGAAAAGTACAACCAGAGTCGAGTATCCAATCACCAGTGGAATCCAGTTTATCTGAATAAACTGTCAAAAGTTCTCCAATACCTTCGACCTCAGCTAGATCGGCTTCACCCGAAGTGCTAGCTTGTTTACCATTTGCTGCCGTCTTCTCTTTTTCTTTGTTCTTCAACTTGAAGCATTCTTCAAGCACATGTCCCTTCTTGTGACAATAGTTGCAAAACTTTCGTTTGCCTTTTGACTTGGATCTGGTTCTGTTGGAAGATTGAGAAGTTCTACTTCTCTCTGTTGTTCTTCCTCTGGCATTCAAACCTTCGGCTTTAGCATCACTTGAACCACCACCAGTAATATGCTTCATCTTCTCTTTGGAATCCAAAGCTGTATAGACTTCATCTAAAACTAGAGTGTCACGGCTATAGATAATAGTATCATGAAAATGGCTATAGGATTCTAGCAACGACGATAGTAAGAATAGAGCCAAGTCTTCATCTTCATACTGAACATCCATATTCTCTAAGTTATTTACTAACTCTTTAAATGTGGATATATATTCAGCTAAAGAGCCTCCTTCAATCATCTTGAGATTGAACAACCGTTGCTTCAAATGCAACTTGTTTGGTAAGCTCTTGGTCATCAACAGTTGCTCCAACTTTAGCCATAAAGAAGTCGCTGACGTTTCTTTTAGAACATCTTGCAAAACATCGTTTGACAAGTGCAAACGAATCTGGGATAAAGCCTTCAGATCTTTCATCTCCTTTTCTTCTTCGGTCCATGTATCGGGCATCATATTGAAACCCAAGAGCGCCTTATGTAAATCCATCTGAATGAGAATGTCTCTCATCTTTACTTGCCACAACGGAAATCGGGTGTTACGATCCAGTAGTGGAATATCGTATTTTACCGAAGACATGATTAATTACTTGATAAAATGATCCCAACGAGCTAATATCACAACCAGGATGCTCTGATACCAATTTGTTGTATAATACGACGGATCCAAATTGACTTAAATAATATTAGCTCAATGCGGAATGGGATCAAAAATTATCAAAGCGTAATAATCACAACGAAATACGAATAAAATAAATAGAATAGAGACGCAGGAATTTACGTGGAAACCCAAATCGGGAAAAAACCACGGGCGGAGGAAGCCGAGAAACAATTCACTATAATTTGCAGTGTTTACAGGGATTATGAAAGAAATTACAAATAGAGTGGGAGAGCTAAAATATACGGTGGTGTATCAATATATATATATATATATATATATATATATATATATATTTGATTTGGTTCGTGGGTTATTATTTCAAGCCTTCTGGCTTAGGCTATTTATAGCCAAAAGAGAACATACGAAAAGGAAAGAAAAAAACCGTCCATAATTGTAGGCGAAAAAGAAGTTAGGCGCCCTACATGTAACTCATTCTCATTTTCAATTTCACACTTATATTACTATTTATAGTCAAACTATGAATAGTAAATGATAAGTTACAGAAATAACCCCTAAACTATTTGTCATTTGCTAATTTTGGAAGCAACTTTTCCACAAGATTACAGGACGTCTTTTTAAATCATCATACAAATGTAGGGAGTGGCTGCCGGTTGAGGTTTATAGCATGAGAAAAGGTTCCTGGAAGTTAACCACTCAAAGGTTTCCATCGCACTTCCAAGATATTTATGATTTTGATTATCTCTGTGTGGATGGCCATGCTGGTTATCTTCATTGGCATGGTGGTTATAATTACGGGAATTTGGTTTCAAAAACGATAGTGACATTTGATTTGGGTGAAGAGAAATTCGGTGAGATAAGTCTTCCGGATTCTGTCATAGGTTACAATATCAATGAATTCTCGATTACCATAGGCGTTTTGGCTGGAAAACTTTGTGTGATATCAAATGCCCACCGAGATGATGAGTGTGTGGTGTGGGTGATGGAAGAGTATGGGGTGGCTGAGTCATGGGTGAAACGTCATGTCTTTCCTCCGTTTAGGGATTATATATGCCCATTAGGATTTACATTACAGAAAGAGTTTTTTTTTTTCTAATTTCTTCTCGAGTTTTAGGACGTAATCATGCTTTGTATGATCCGGGTGCAGCCAACACTAAAATCTTCAAGTTTGATAAAGATTGTGATGTTAAAGTTGTTGATTATGTTGACAGTCTTGTTTGGGTAACACCTGCCGAGCAGCGAGGGAGGAGCTGCTGTAGCATCTCTCAGTTTCAGTTTTGAAGACATTTTTACATCTTTTTTTTAATTAGTTTTCTTGCATTTGAGTTTAGTGTTTTAGTTTCCATCAAAGTCTTTAGATTGAATACTAAAATATTTTTTGTTAGCATTTCATTTGCATCTTAAGTCATCAACAAAGTAGTTACAAATACAATCACTTACTGTCTCTCATTAGAATCACCAACATCAAATTGGAGCTTCTCTTTTGTGTTATGACATGCCAACATCAACTTTATGAATTTCTACAATCGATTTATTCCTTCGCACAAGCTTCTTTCCCTTGAAATATGTGTGATTTTTTTTGTCTATTAAGTGTTTGATGAAATGCCCTAATGAAATCTATTTTCTGAATAAACCACAGATAATACAGATTTAGAATTGCAATTTGGTCTGCATCGTATATTGATCCAAGTTAATGATCTAAAATCCTTAATAAATTACTCTAACATTGTCAATGCATTTCTTTTATATTTTACCAAATGTGAATGCAAAAGGATTCGTGGTATGAAAATAAGAGGCAAGAAAAAGAAATTTATATTCATGAACTTCAATGGCATTTTCAACTCTGTCTGAGTAGAAGCATCTAGAGCAGAGTTATAGTAACAGAAAAGATGTTGGAATATGAACACAGGTGGTGGAACAAGATGGCAGCTTGCATTTGAGGAGTGAAGGAGGTGTCTTGGTTGTAGGTGAGGGAGTATTGAAGACATTTTTGGGGGTAAAGGAGACCTTTTTAGATGATGAACATATTAAAGTTTAAACTGGCCACAAGAATATATATATATATATATATATATATATATATATATATATATATATATATATATATATATGTGTGTGTGTGTGACCCGTGTATTACACGGGTTAATTTAAAAAAAAATTAAAAATTAAATTGTAAACAGTAAATATTTTTTAATGTAAAACTTTAAAATGAGAAAGGAAGAAACATATTCATTGCAGTTTAATATCATATATATTATATTTAATACCTTACATACATAAGTAGAGGACTTTAATTTTAAAAATCGAAACAAACTAGAAATTGACAAGTTGATAATATTTATTCCAAAAATATCACAAAATGACATGTGTCAAAACTCATGAAAGATTGAGAAGTGGATAATATTTATTTCAAAAATCGAAACAAACCAGAAATTCACAAGTGGATAATATTTATTTCAAAAATATCACAAAATGACATGTGTCAAAATTAATGAAAGATTGACAAGTGACAAAATTATTTTCATTTATTAAGGAGGATATATATATATATATATATATATATATATATATATATATATATATATATATATCCATGGTCCCATAATTGGCGAACGCAGGCCTTATTCAATGCCCACCAAGAAGCAATTTTTTTCCATATCTCCACCGCCATGTTACAAGTGAAAAAAAAACATGATCTAAAGATTCAACATCCGTACCACAGTTATTACATCAATGGGAGTCCATCTCAAGACATCTACTATTAGGGGCGGTTTTAGGGTGTTTATGGTGTTGCGGCAACACCTGCCTTTCCTGTACGCAGTAGAAATTTTTTTGTTTTTTTTATTATCTATTTTTCATCTCGGCAACACCTACCATGTATTTCTGCATCCGCACCTGTCTATTATTATTAAGGTTAACTTTGACCGGAAGTTTATTCAACTTTAATCTCTATTTAAGAATGTTGACCAAAATCGGAACAAGATTGTTCCATTTAGTAGGATTCCCATTCACCACTAAGGTGCATTTGTTAATCAATCGTCTCACCAAAGAAATCGTAAAATGTCCCCGACTCTAATTCTCATCGACATGTATCCCTTAGAGTAGAAAAACTAAAACTTTGCATAAGATCAACTATCCCTAACAGCAATTGGTTTCCTATCTTCCATAGAGGGTTGGTTATTGATGTCAAGCCTATACTTGAAAGAAAAGATTACAGGTTTGCTTCCTCCCCTCCCGTTCTGATAATTAATGTTGCTAGGTTTAAAAAGAAAATTCAAGAATAGCCAGAGAGACCTTTTCTTATGTGCGTGCATTCTTTAATCCAGAAAGCTTCAATGTAACATAATCCGCTTAATCTCTCATCCCATCTTTATTATTTAAAAATTCAAAACTTGATATGAGGTTTCTCGAGTTGAAATTTTTATGTTTCTTTTAATTTGAAAACAAGATATTTCCCAGCTTGTGCTAAGACAATGAGTCAATGACGTGTATTTGTGTGTGGTTTGAGATGCACATTAACAATGAAGAAGATGATGAGAGGTGGTGGTGGTGTTTTAATTATTTTTAGTTTTAAATCATCTAAAAAACAAAAAAAAAAAAAACAAAATAGAAGAAATATATGTTAGTAATTTCACAAACAGTTAACCCTAACAGTGCTAGTAAAAAATATGTATTGTTTTAAAACTGTAAAAACCAACTATGTTAAAAGTTTTTTAAAAAGTGTTAAAGATAGTAGTATTTTGTTTTTACCAACCATAAAGAGTAAATACCCTTTATAAAATTTTATCTAAAAAAAGTTAAAATATACTTTTTAGGAAAAAAAATCCTTGTTTTTACCATAATTTCCACCTCCACTTCCTTTTTCACCTGCTCTTTGGCGATTTTGTTTCTCCCGTCGGTCGGTCTCCTTTTTCTCCCACCATGGTTATTCCTTCCGTCACGACTGCCCAGGACTCCCTTTCTATGCTATCATCGCCTCTTGGTCTCTATTAAGGTACCACGATTACCTTGTTTACTTTGTTTTATAACTAAATTATTAGCGTTTCTTAGTAGTAATTGTAAATTAGTAGAAAAATGTTAGTAATTGTAACAACCGGTTATTCCGAGTCAATAAAAGTCAAACAAGTTAAACCAAAGTCCATCAAGTCAAACCAAAGCCAAACGAGTCAAACATAAGTCATATAATTAAATAGTTAAAAATTAAATCATGAAAATTTTATTACTTAAAGAGTTTTCGGTTTTGGAATCAAAAAGCCCACCAAAACCGAAATCCCTTTTTTGGAACAATTAGGACCGAAATCCCCCAAGTCTAGACCAAAAACACCTAGACCGAGAACCCCTATCCGAAAACACTCCCATGACTGAGAACCACCCCACCAAGAACCCCTTTTGGACCGAGAACCTCTAGACCGAAGACCCTAGGTTCTCGGTTGGACTTTTTGACCGAAATGAAGGGTTCTCGGTTTCGAGGATAAGTCGAGATCACAAATTCTAGGCGGTGGCACACCTTCCAATGTGATAGAATACACATCCCAATGCAAGTGTCAAATCATTTTTACCCCCATATATATATATGTTTAACCGAAATCACTTTCCTCATTCCTCATTTCACTCTTCAAAATATCGCAATTTCCTCTCAAAAGTGTTCTTAACATCTTCAAATCTTCAAGCAAAATCCAAGAATTCCTTCAAACATTCCCAGAACATCTTCAAATTTTCCCTAGAAAACAAAGTTCTTCAATTAATTCTTAGGAATTAATTGGTAAGTTTCCTTATATCACTTAGTGTTTGTATAACACTTTATTGAGAGTTATCTAATTTATACACAGTATCATGTGTTAAAAGCAAATTAGGATACAAACGATATACATGTGTTCTAACATGAGGATCATCACTATCACTTCGTATTTCAACCAAGAACGCACACTCGAAGTGAGTTCATACCCCTACAGTTTTCACGATTTTTATATGTTTTTAGGGGGGGGGGGGGGGGAATACAAGTAAATCACAAGAAAACTTGTGTTAATATATAAATCGTTATGCTTTCTATATTTTATGCGAAAATGCTAAAATACATGAAATATCGTTATCTCTAAATTCAGGAATGTATACATATAAGGTTTCCGTACAAGTACGCTACAATTTTCTTACAAGATATATATATATATATATATATATATATATATATATATATATATATATATATATATATATACACACACACACACACACACACGAAACGAGTACAATTGGATTTCAATAAATAAACTGTATTTAAATAGTTTATAAACTTTAACCCTATTGTAACAGGTTGAGCAAAAAGGGGTATAATTATATAAACATACGTATATAATTATTTCATTTTCACTTTATTATCATGACAATTTGATAATAGCATACAAATGAATCATTATTTCAACGAAACATTTTTATAAACTATAATAGGTATAGTTTATGAGACTACACACTATTCTACCTCCTCAAGATACAATATAAAATAATTATTCCAAAGTATAATTACTTTATACCAAGTAACCACTATAAAATGGTGGTACATACATTTACAAGAACAAGGAATTTTCATCATACTACACGTAAACAGTCAATATAGCTTTGTGAGACACGTCTTCAAGTACTTCCCTAAGTACCACTATAAAATGGTGATACATACATTTACAAGAACAAGGAATTTTCATCATACTACATGTAACCAGAGTCTCGTGGAGGGAGAGCATGACAATTGTGTACATATCTATATGGGACTGACAATCCCTCACCTAAACTGTTAGCTATAGTTAGACCGACAGGTCTAGGGTGACAAATGTCGTAACATTCCGACACCTGAAGAACGTCGAAATAGGCCAACAGTCGCTAAGTATGGTCATAATAACTCATAAGGGATATGAACAATACGTTTGGTTTACGAATACATACATGTCTTCAAGTAGTATCATTTAGATAAAACTACATTACATTATTTTCTAGTACAATACAAATTACATTTCTGGAAACATACATTCAAATGAGTTTTACACAGATACAATCACAGTACATTACTTTTTCAATACAATACAATTTACAATTCTGGAAATATGCATTCAAATAGTTTTATAAAGATACAAAACTACATGATACTACTTCAGAGTGTAGTAATAATTATACATTTCAGTCTTAGTGTGTTTAAGACTACATTACATGTCAAAGAAAATATTGGATTTTCTGGAAGAACATACTAACATTTTCAAGGAACAAAGACATATATTTTTCATACAAAATGATTA